TCTCACTACGATTGGAATTTTGGGGTGTGATTGGTACAATTGGAAATCTAACTTCAAGCTCTTGAATTTAGACTCAAGAATGACCTAATTTGGATTTAAAACGAGTGAAATATGACCTTCTGAAGTTGGTGTAAGAAAGCTGTCCAAGAAAAACTAAAAAGGGAAAGCTTCAGGGAGGATCAGCCAACCAACGGCAAGGATCAGCCGGCTGAAACTCCATCATCAGCCGGCCGAAACTCAATCATTAGTTGGCCGAAATGATATTTTTCATAACAAACCTATTGGATTTGGTCTCGAGAGTCTATCGGCCGGCTGGTATCAGTTGTCAGCCGACCGACGCACCTATTATCAATGAAATCAGTTACTGTCAAGTGTGTGAAAGATGCTCGGTCCAATCCTAAGGCTATGCATGCATCCCATATGCCCCGAAACAAGTTTAAAAATATTTCCTAGCCTCATACAAACATCCATAACATGCTAAATCGAAACGAAACCTTAAATCATACTCTAATGCATGAATTTTGCATAAAAATTCATAAATCACTCGAAAATAGTTCCAAATTTGAAACTTAAAAGTTTTGTGAAATGTGAACATGCATGCATACTTAAAATGATGAAATAGACGCGCTACCATGGCCTCATAGCATGTCATATACAAAATATGATCCATCAACCCTAGAGATCTCATAAATTCCATAAACAACCATAAAGTTAAATTAACATACATGTCATATGAGTTTATTTAACCCTTAGCCTTATTACACACACATTCAACGAGTATCAAAAGGTGCGCTTAAGTGCACATTACATAGTTTGAACAATAAATACATGTTTTGACATAATAAACCAAAATGAAGCATGATATGCTAACAAGTGCATATTGTAATATAGCAAAAATACTCCAAGTAGTCAAGCAAGCCTAGGGATGTTGTGCATCCCATTCTTTACTTGAAAAACAACCCGGTAACTTTGGGGTGAGTAAACAAGTTTACTCGTAAGAAATGAGCATGCATAGACTCAACTTTATACAAACTTTGTAATTCAATGTAAATCAATCCATAATGTTTAACCGACATTGGAACTTCCAACACAGCGCAATAAGATGTAAACTCACAAAGTTATCAACTTAGAATTTAAAGTGCGAAATCAAACCAAAGTGGATACTCGGACATCACGCTGGATTAGACCGACAACGTGGTTACTTTAGGGTTACTAGCCCACGGGTAACCTCCTTATGTGCGCACTAGACTTGTAGGGGGATAATCCCCCGTACTAGAACCATGCCTTAGCCGTAGTCATAACAACAACATCCTAAATTTCCAAAATTAACAAATTGTGCAATAACATATATATATATATATATATATATATATATATATATACAAGGTAAAACTATTTACCATGCATAAACAAATTTTGGAAATTAATTAAATAAACTAATTAATTTCTCTATATTTCATTTCACATCCAAATATGCTCAAATTTAATATATGTTAAAGAACCTATCATGATCATTGCATATATTACATCAAAACTTGATTTAAATCATGGAAACATATAAATGAAAATTAATTAAATTAATTAACTAATTTCTCTAGATTTCAAAATAACTCTAAATGACTTCAAATTGATATAAGTTATGAATCAAGTCATAACCTTTTTAAAAATCATGTCTTAACTTAATTTCATACAAGGTATTGTTATCTACCAACTTAAAATTTAGATTAAAGACATGTATTCAATTTATACTAAGTTATAAAGTATATAAAACAACAAAATCATGAATCTAATCACCCCCTACCTCACAAGAGGATTGTTCCTCTTGAATCTAAGAGAAGCAAAGGAATTTCAAATTCTCCTTCTAGAGTTATGAAGAGGAAATTGAGGCAAAACTTTTGTACCCCAAGCTTTATGGTCAAAGGTGAGTGAAAGGGAACCAAAATAAAGCTTAAAGTTCTAGACCAAACTTTGCTTCAATGGTGGCTAGGCTAGGGTTTGAGAGGAATAGATGAAATGAAATAAACATGAAAACCCTAACCTAATTTTGGTGAAATCCTCCACTCACTATGTGCTCTTACACTGCCTCTCTCACACATACTAATGCAAGACTTAATTTTGGTGCCTACACTTGTCATTAATCCATGGCTCCATTCTAGGCTTAATCCTAAGCCTACACTTGTCAACTATCCAAGCCAACAAGTGCTCCTATCGTAGGCCAACAAGTGAGTGAATCTCCACCCTCTATGTGTCATTAAACTAAGCTTCTAAGAGGTTCCACAACAACATCAACAAGTGGCTCCATAGGAGTGTGACACTTGTTACACTTTTCAAAAATTACAAAAAGGTCATTTTTTCAAAATATCTTTCAAATTAAATTACAAGATGGTCCCTAAGACAAAAAATAATTACTTTATTTAATTGCACTAAAACCCGAAAAGTCAAGAATATTTTCTAAGAACTATGCATCCATACCTTTTACAAGAAAAGTAAACACTTAGCATGCTTTTCTACAAAAGTAAAAATATGTATGTCATGGAAATCAAATATCATGGATGCATGCAAAGTTGGAATTAAATCCGAGCACAAAAGTGAGATTATGCAAAGAAAAATGGTAAACGGGAAAAAGACGAAAAAAAAATGCCAAAAAATGAAAAGAGTGAACTGACCGGGTCATTACATGTTTTACATCGTTTTCTTCAAGGTTCTAAGAGGCAGTACGAGAAAATTGTAAATTTTCTTCTTATTTATTATTTTCCAGGTATAGTTATTATCCTTTATGAGTTGATTTGTCTGAGAGACCTTCCTTAAGATATAAGATTGTAATTTTTAGGAATTTTTTAATACTACTTAGTTATAGTTTAAGAAATAATGATCATTATTGATTAATTTCATAATTTTGCCAACTGTTAAAGGGTGTTTCAAAAGTATGATAAAAATAATTTAATAAAAAATGAAAATTTTAATGAGAAATGACAAAATAGTTTTTTATGATGGGTTTGTCTTTAATTACAACAAATCAATATTAAGGGAATAGGTTTTAGTTAAGGGGTTATTTGCGAAAGGGTAATAGTTCAAGAATTTTTTTTTGCACTTGTTCCTTAATTTATTAAGATAATTTAAGTGGAACTAAAATAAAATAAAGATACTAATAAGCAAATTCCAACTAAAAAAAAATACTAGAATACCATAAGCAAAGTTTAACTAAAATAAAATACTAAAATACAAATAAGCAAAGAACACAGTTATCAACAACATCAGATCGATTACCGGACTCCGACTAGCCTTCCGGCCATCTCTTCATCCCAGCAAGTTTTTGAATCTCCGATTAGTTTAGGTTAGTTTTATTTATCTGTTTAAAACAATCAAGATCTTATTATTTTCAAACAATATTAAATGTTCTTGTTCTTGACATGATTGGTCACTTTCAATTTGTTTACATTCCTATCATATAAATCCCATTAAATGGTTGTATGCGATCTCTTTGATATAACAATCCAAAGACGTTGTCAATCTTGTTTCATGTTCCTTTTGGTTTCATAATATTTGTTTTTATAAATACATAGAAACATAACTGAACAAATATTCCTTTTTAATTTTGTTGCTTTCTAATCAGTATTATTCACTAATTGTATTTCTTCTGCAGGTACATAAGTATAGAACAAGTATTCAAGGCTTATTCTATTATTCTTTTGTGGTTTAGATTAATTTATTTTATTATTTTGTAGTCACAAACTCCTAATATTATGTTTAAAGTCTCAAGGTAATTTGGTAAAGGATCTATATTATTTTTTTTAGACCTCAATCCTCGTAAGATAATTAGACCTCAATCCTCGTAGGATAATATAGAGTAAGTAGAGCCATTGATAAATGGTACGTGATAGGGTGGACATTTAATTCGAAAAGACGTAACAAGATATATTAATTCAGAACTTTAATACAATTGTAAAATTGTATTTAATTTAGAAAAAAAAATTGGTATGATTTCTTATTTTGAAAGGAGATCAAATTAAATGTTTAGAGGGTTCAAGAATAAGGCCATTTTATCTATGATTCGTCCTAGTGATATCACAAGGAAAACTTGTTTGAGAATTTTTTGTGACATGGGTTCTCAGAAATTACCCCTGAAATGTGCTTAGTTTTCAACAACGCATAGCCATTGGATGGCAGCCCCAGCTTCATCTTGCCACATCAAGCTTATCTTTATTTTTTTTGTTTTTTTAAAAAAAAAAATCATTTTGTTACTAGTTTTTGCTCTTCCACATTTTACCCTGAGATATATATATATATATATTGCTGATAGTGCTCATTATTTCCAACTGAGACAAGCACTTTGAATCAACAATTAAATCGATTTTATCTTTGTATTCCCTATCTAAGTACGCCAAAATAGTCCATTGACACGTAAATTTGACTCGAGAGATTTTTTACTCAAAATTAAATTTAGTTTTACTCTAATTTCATAAATTTCAAGTCACGACTCAAGTTGTCCATCCAATCTTCAGAACAGCGGTGCGATGGCGATGGGCCCTAATCCCGGGAGGATGATCGCCCCAACTTTACCCAGCCCATTTACAAAACTTTTAAAAAGGCCCACTAGGCCAGATAAAGTCCAGAACCCCAAAAGACGAGAATATTATAGCGTTTTTCTTTTATATATATGGGGGCAGTATCCACTCATGAAAGGCAACTACCTTTCTCCTCAAATAATTCATTCATTTGCGCAGAGAGAGAGAGAGAGCAATTGAGTTTCAGAGATTTTGCAGCGCCAACCGTACCATTGCGTATATTAATCTAGATGTTTGAAAGCGAAAAAAGACAGAAAAACATAGATCGAGATTGGCAACGGATGATTCAATATTCCTGTACCAAAGGAATCCTGTGAGTTTCTATCGTCCTCCTTAATCAATTTCCTGTTTTTGTTATATTTTTCTCAGTATTTTTATTTCAATTGAAATAAGGCTTTGATTTTCAATTAATATAGGGAGGGGGTAGGTGGGTAAATGGCGAGTTGTAATAAAATATTTCTTCATGAGGATGTGATGATTGAGATTCTCTCAAGGCTGCCGGTGAAATCAGTGATTAGGGCCGGAGCCGTATGCAAAAATTGGTACTCTATCATCAAAGACCCTAGTTTTGTTACTAGGCACTTGAACAACCATCACACCAACAGTAACAGTGGCCGTCTTTTCATTCGTGGTCGTAACGATGTGAATCACATTTATTTCTCATTGTTCCCTGATGAAACACTCGCCTGTACGATTCAGGATGTGGTGGTGGTGTTGGATATTCCCACCTATATAGAGGTTGTTGCCAGTCCCTACAATGGCATATTGTGCCTGTGTACCAATCTCCATCCTTCCAATCGCTTTGCTTTGTGGAATCCCGCAATCAGAGAATTTAGGTCCTCCCCGTACTGCCTCGTAACCATCCACCTAATGTGATGACTTGGACTGAAACATTTGGATTTGGTTTGGATCCCATTACTAATGATTACAAGGTGGTTTGGATTTGGAACACTACGAAGGAGGATGCTCCATATCGGTTTGGTCCTTCCAGGTTGCTGTGTATACCTTATCTACTGATTCCTGGAGATATCTTGATCATGTTGCTCTGCCTTATCATGGCATTCACACCCCTCTGTCTAACACATGCATTAATGGGGTATATCACTGGCTTGCAACTCAGAGTTGTGAAGATTGTTATTTCATCCTTTCATTTGACATGGGCAATGAATTGTTTCATGATATACCAGTACATATTCCAACTTCAAAACATTGCTACTCCCCACCTCCTCTTCTATCCTACAATAACTCCCTTGCTCTGATATGTTATGATCTTTCTAATCCAACTTTTGACATATGGGTGATGATGGAAGATGATGGGTGTTGGACCAAACATTTTACCGTTGAAATGAATACAGAATTCTGGTTCTTCCTTGGGTTTTGGAAGAACAATCAGCTTATTATCCAAACTGATGTAGACGGTCATGTGGCCTTATATGATCCACAGACGCGTGAAATTAAGGATTTTGGATCCAAGAATTGGTATGCGTCCTTCGTCTATAGGGACAGTCTGGTCGCAATCAGGGGCAAAGATGGGTTTCTAAAACAAGATTACATGTCTGATGCAGATCAAATTTGTAACTTTTCTAAAACAGTTGAAGTTGAAAGGTCAGACTTTCCTGATGATGAGGATTTTGATATTTTTCGTTTATTTCTCATCTAGTAAAGTTGAATGGCATGCTATTTTATCATTCTTGTTTATTGGTGATGAACCAAATTTTATTGCTTTATTCCTTTTGTCTTATCAGTTGTTCTATTATAAGCATTTGAAACTATTAACTTTTATTAGCTGATCACAATTTCTTTTGATTTGTATTCTCGTTATTACTTGTCTTGATTCCTTCCTTCGTGTTAATCGTTGATTCCTCCCTTTTTTTATGATACATTGTGAAAATATCATCATCACATGATCAATCACACAAACATATATAAAGATAATAATCATACATATCGACACACAATATGTGAATAATAAAGAACCCATTAAAGAAAATTTTATCTGTATACAAATATTTTTGGCTCAATCAAACATAAAGTGTACTTATTCAACATGTGGAGGATTTCTTATATTAGTAGAGGTATTGGTTGTACATATATGGTCATGCGTATGTGATATTTATGGATGATTTTTATTTTTAAAAAAACTGTTGCAAGGTAACAAACTAGTGAAGAAAGTTGCATGTCAGTCACTTAAGAATGCTAGGCCATTGCCACGTTTAAATTTTGCATTTTTTTCAGTAAATATTTGAATACTTTTTAAGCATTGTCTGGCATCAAGCCTACAACAGACAATGAGTTCTGTAAAGATCTATTCATTCAGGTCAATTGTGTAACCTAATACAATTTCTACAAGATTGTAATATTTCTTATATAGGCTTTTATAGATTGAAACAGTCAATTTTCACGTGCACCTATACTAGTACTAGGAAAAAGATAACATAAATTTTAATTTTAAGAGCAAATTGCCACCAAAAAAAAAAACCTAGACTATTTGAAATTGGCACAAGACCTCCCTTACCTAACAATTGACCTAAACTCCCTTTAAGTATATAATTTATACAATTTTGAGACCAACATCAGGCACCATCATAAAGTAATATGAGCTTTTTTCCAAGTGGCATGAGATATTAACAACTTAAAGTTGGTTCGAGTGCCTTGTCAATGCATTCTTGTTATGTTTTAAGTGTCATACATTAGTGTAAGATGTTTACAAGGAGCTATAGAAATTTACCATGAGACTTTCTTTGAGAACAAACACTTAAAACCACTGTTATGAGGTGATGACATGACGACCATATGTTTGTGTCTTGCTAGCTCCTTTGGCTCTGCTATTCAGAACTTGCTCGATCTCATCCTTTTTGAATATGCAGATGCCCGTTTGTAATTCTTTTGTTCAGCTTTTGTCCTTATGGATTTTGTGCAGCTTCAACTCCAGTGCTCAAACAAGCAGATCGAACTGGTGGGAAATTGTTCTCTATTGTTTTGTTTTGACATTTGGACTGAGAGGAACACTAGAGTGATATCTACATCACCTTCTACCTTAGCACAGAGGTTTTGGATCTCTTATGCAACTATCGTTTCAACAAATTGGTCATGTATTCTAGTACCAAATGGTGATTTAAGGGACTGACCTAACTTCTCACATTCAAAAACAAACTTACTTTTGATCTAAAGCTCAACTTATCACCACCACGTACATATAGTTCTTAGGCCCATTTTTTTATTCTTTATTTTTGCCTTTCACATTTGCTTTTATATATATACCCTGCCATAAATTGAAGCTCAATTTCAACCTCTCATACACAAAATAAATGATGACCGCACAGTTGCACAACATTCATCTGGACGCCAGTGTTTTAGAGTTTAGAAACTACTATATTCTTTTCATTGTTGGCTATTCAAGTGTATTACTAAGCATAATGAGGATATGTTTCACAGTTTCTGGATGTTTTTCTTTTGGATATTTTTCTTATTTACCAAAGCAGTAGGAACTTTCACTTGTTTAAATTCAGATGTACCTTTTTTTATTCAAGAACAAACATCATACAATCACAAATATATTCCACTATAGTGAAAAAAAAAAATAAACTATTACAAAAGAAAGAACGGATGAGAATTTATTACGAGAGAAAGCAATCATCAGACTAAGAAAAACCCAATCGCCCCATGACCTCTCTGAACCAGCAGTTCCACCCCCTCTGCCTTTATAACAAAAAACATCACAACAGCAGCACAAAAAGCTAATAAAAGAAAGACAGGAAAAATGGTAACACTACGGTTGAGCAAGCAAATAGTGTGGAGATGAACCAGTGAGGGGAGAAGGCAGCAGCAGCAGCAGAGGTGCTGCCACCACCTTCACCGCTAGTAACAGATGGAGCAGGTGCAGGTACAGGTGCATGTGCCCCTTCACATATGCCCATCAACACCATCACCACAAAGACAATGCACATTGAGGCAAATGGAGCCAAGGGCTTTCCACTTGCCATCTTCGACATTATACACACACAATGAATAATGTCATTAATTCCAACTGTTAAGCTTTATACCAGTACTGGAATGAAAAGAGGCCGCAACTTGGGTAGTTAACATGGGGTTATCAACTGCCCAAGTCTTCCTTAATCAACCATTTTATATACTGCACATGGCATTGTACGAGTGGTTGATTTAGTCAAACTTACCGGGCAATTAGGTTCCAACTGAGTGTTTATTTGTATGGAATTAGCATGGAAACAATATCTGATTAAAACAATACCAAGGAAACAGTCTAAACATGTTAGCGAGTCATTGTCATCTATTAAACAACCGAGTGTTTGACAGTATCATAGAAATAAATTTCTACTGAGCTCTATTCAAAACTCATCTGTCAAAATGTTTCTTACATCTATATAGACCTTCATTATTAATCAATGCTGGCCTGCTACTCACAAGCTATATATATACTAATTGTGAGAATAAATTAATTAGATCCAGCTCGTGGTTGGTTAAAGCTGAGATGAGCTTTGACCTTTCTAATACATAAATAATCTAAGGTCAACCTGTTAAATAAGAACATGCTGTTCGTGATTAACTTGACGATTATGCAGGAAAAAACAAAGGCACTCACAGGATTATACAATTAGTCCGTCAATCCCAAACTTTCATCTTAAGACACTATCTTGGCATCAACTATTATAACATTATGATCGATACAATTAGGTGAGCTTTTGTAAGCTGGCCTCTTAATTTTAACCAGTATCTCTGAAGTCAATTGATGTAGAAGTGACAACTACCACGAAATATTTTAACAAGGTTAGAGCTTCAAAATATGTTTAAGAATTGCTGTTGAAATTTAGTACATTTCTCTTGTAATATAGTACGAGCAATAGCCATTGACTTCTGCTTGATAGTGGCATGCCTCTAAACCCAAACGGTTTTCACAAATCAGTCGGAAGCTGTTTCAGAGCCTTGATTTGTCTCTCTCTCTGTTCCAAAGTCTTCATAGAAATGAAAATGTTACTTTATAAATCCTTAACAGATTTCAATCTAATCCAAATGAAAAAAAGAATACATTTTTTTAAAAAAAGAGCATTTAAATCACTTGGTAGGATTACCCTTATGTATACACTTAACAGACTTTAGGAAATATTTGATAATTTCCACAAGAATTAAAAAAATGAAGATGACATAGTCATGGAACCAAAAGCTGAACAGAGTAGATGACTTTCCTCGGAGCATCGCAGAAACTGAAATGCGTGCATTAGACTATGTTGGACGGCCTCTAAGGCGAATATTAATGGCTCTAGATGCCATTGCTCTCAAGTTTGCTCTGGCCAAAGGAACAGAGCTTCTATATGATGATGGCTCATCTGATACCCTAAAAGCATCCATAAACTCTTCTCTCTGCAATCTCAAAGCCAATGCAGCATCCTCATCTTGAATTGGCACCCCTCTTCTCCTCCTCATCACATCCAAATCTCTTCTGCTCGATATTTCAGACGAAGGCTGGACACTTCTATTCCTCGTATTATGATTATTAACTCTTTCCAGGCTCCGACCCTCGGCCTCTGAACTACCTAAGGCTTGAATACTCCGGCTACGGACATTATAATTGCTAGCTCTTGTCGGGCTTCGACGCTTGGCTTCTCGACTATTTAAGGCTCCAGATGCCTTCCTTGCTTCGACCTCCTGGGGAAACAGCAGCTGTATTGTGTTCCATAGAACCGTGTTCACTGTGCAAGACCTTCCATTGCTGCAAAATTCAAATAAAAATTTAGTGACCTCAATATTCAATGAAATAAAGCTGCTCTTGTATAATATTTGCTGATTAGCTTAATGTCAGAGCTATATATATACCTAATTAGCTGCCTACACTTTGGGCATCGCTTGCCACACTTGTCAGCCGCGGATCGCAAACATTTCTTGCAAAAACTACACATTGGAAGAGAATATATCACTCAAAATCAATTCATCAAATATCTGACTAACTTGGAATATATGAAATTTAAATTTTCATTTTAATTTTACCTGTGTCCACAAGTAGTAGTACTAGGTTCAAAGCAAATTTCCAAACAAATCTGCCAAATATATCAAACCTAATTAAAATTAAGGAAAACCCAAAACCCATTTTTCTTTGATCCATAAAATAGGAAATATAATATCAAGAACAACCAAAATTTTCTCACCGCACAAGAAAGCTCCTCACGAAGTCGATCCAAGCATGGGATACTCGAACTCAAGGAAGAAACACCTGAGCTTTGTGCAGTGGATTTATCATCTTCTATTTTCTTCTCTTCATTCTCATTATTAATTTTCAATTCTGGCTTCTTGTTTTCACTCTCTGTCCATCATTAACACCAAAGAAATCAAATCAACAAAGCACCCAATAACCAATTCGATCCCCTAATAAATAATAAAAGATAAAATCAAAACCTTCTCTTGCAATTGTTTCATCTTCATCAAGGTTGAGAACAGCCACAGGTATCGAAACAGGACTCCTCCTCTGAGCCCTTCGTTTCCTGAAACACCCAATAAATATGCTTGAGAACAAAAACTCTTACGCGTATACAAGTCTATATATGTGTGTGTACCTTCTTGAATTTGTGGGTGGGGTCTTGAACAGCGGATCAGAGCGTTTCTTTTGCTTGAACTCTCTATCGGGTGTGTCTTCAACAACAAGACTGGCGATTAGAAGCGCCTCTTCATCCCAACCGGCCATTGCAGCCACGGATTTGAATCTAGGGCTGAACATGCTGTCAACTTTTTCGCCATTTCCTGTTCGATCTGCTTGTTTTGGAGCGTCTTTTGATTTGGGGGGGCTCTGTTTTGGTTCTTCACTCACCATTTTTGGGTTTTTTTTGGAATTGGTTATTTGTGAGAAGAAAACCCTTTTGTTTTCGGTAGAAGAACAAACTAAGAAATTTGTTTGGCTTAACGGTCTTATTTTTTGAATAGGGTTTGTAGTTTTGGTAAAGTTAGACATAACGGCTATAATTTCGGGGGCTTATGGAGAAAGCTTAGTGTCAATATGCAGATCTTTAGGACCGTGTACAACACAATCTACCACCGTCCACCCGTTGATACATTGCATGATGATGATGGTTGGAATCGTACACTAAACCATTTGATTTTGATGGGGAGATATAATGAATTATTATTTTTTTTATTTTTCATTTTTGGTTAAAACTGTCATCAGCCTTAAATTTTTTTAGAAATACTTAATGAATTATTTTTTAAAGAGAATTTGAGGTGAACAAGTAATTAGAGCCCGTTTGGGATTAATTTTCTACTTTTTAAAAGTATTTTTATTTTAAAAAATTGCATTTAAATGTATTTGATAACCATTATATAAAAATAAAATGATATGATTTTTTGTGTTTAGTATAAAATTCTAAAAAGAAAAGAAAGAGCGTGGGAAGATCTGGAGTGATATATTAAATTTTTTATTTTTATTTTCTCACACTGTTAAAGTTTGATGAGAAGGGAGAAAATAAAAGAAAATACTAACATTTTTAATAAAATTTTATTAATATTATATTTGTATTTATTTTTTAATAGAGACAACTTATGAAAAATTTGTATGATTGTAAATTCATTAAAACTGTTAATTTTTTTTTTCTTTATTAATCAACCAAACACAATATGCAATTAATAATTTAATACGATACTCTTTCTTTTTTTTCTTTTTTCTCTGATAACTAATATTATTATTAATTTCTTTTTTATTCTACTATACCAAACACAGGCTACATGATTTTGTATGAACAAATAAAAAATTTGAACTTTGATTTCGAAAAAGTTTGGAAGGGTTTAGTTGATCAAGAAGAGATTGAAGTTAAAAAATGAGGGTGGTTTTTTTTTTTTTTTTTTTTTTTTTTTTCTCTTTCTTCATTGGCAAGAAATTAACTCACACACCCACTTTGCTTCTTTGAAAGTTCGATATTCACCGTCCATTTTGATAAATAGAGGGAAGATAACATTGGGCCACAAAATCCTTGATAAAATGAGGGTTAGTTAATAAACCACCTTTATTACATTGCAAATGATGATAGTTGTCTCTATCCATGATTTTTTCCTTAAATTTAATACTTTCAACAATTAACTCTAAATAGATTAAGCGTTTGTTCAATTAAGTATTTGATAACATAATTTGAATATCACTAAAAAAGGTAAATACAACTTAAAATGTAATAAAATTTAACAATGCTGAACACTGAAAATTTAATAAAATAAAATAATTAATTTTTTAATTAAAACTTAAAAACGTTTCCACTTAAAATTCAGCTCTTAAAATTTTCAGTACTTATTCTTCAGTTTTATCAAAACATTTTAGATTGCAAAGCACAACTTAAAATGTAATAAAATTTAACAATGCTGAACGCTGAAAATTTAATAAAATAAAATAATTAATTTTTTAATTAAAACTTAAAAATGTTTTCACTTAAAATTCAGCTCTTAAAATTTTTCACTCATCAAAACATCTTAGATTGCAAATGTTTTTTCACTCATCAAAACAATTTATTTACCACTTAGACATACTTAACAATTAAATCCCCAGAATGGATTACTAGACAAATAACTCTAAATATCATATTCTTAGATTGCAAATGTTTTCATTCATCAAAACAATTTATTTACCGCTTAGATTGCAAATGTTTTCATTCATCAAAACAATTTATTTACCACTTAGACATACTTAACAATTAAATCCCCAGAATGGATTAGTAGACAAATAACTCTAAATATTATTACTTTTTTAATATATTTGGCATCATCTATTCGACGCCTTAAATTTAAAATAGAAAAAAAATTAATACAAATTTTAAATTGAACTTTTTCAGAACTCAAATTCAAGGCACAAATAAACTTTTTCAACGTAACATTTGAATTTTTAAACTGGACCCATGCTTTCTCATCACTCCACATAAAAATAAAAAAAAATCAACGGTAGAAAAGTAAAATAAATTTAAAAATTTAAATGATTGCTGCCAAATTTTGTCAAACCACTACCCACATCAATCCCTCTCCCTACTGCAGATCAAGGCACCGAATACCGATCACTTTCAAGTTTTTGGTACAAGTAACATCAACCTAAGACTTTTTTTTTCACTGTTCTATTTCCTGTGACTACTTTTTAATTTTTTTTATTTCAATGTGGAGTCATACTTGATGAATGGAGGCTTTGAGTCTTTCTAAATTTGCATGATGAGAGTCTTCACTAAATTTGCAATGGAGCACTTTGAGTCTTTCAAAATTTGCACGTGACATTAATTTCAAAACTCTAATTTTATAAAAATCTTAAATTAATTTTTTTTTTTATTTTTTTATTTCAATGTGGAGCTAGCATCATATTTGATGAATGGAGCACTTTGAGTCTTTCTAAATTTGCATGATGACAGTCTTCACTAAATTTGCAATGGAGCACTTTGAGTCTTTCAAAATTTGCCCGATGACAGTCTTCACTAAATTTGCCCAACCTTACACATGAGGTAATTAAAAAGAATAACAAGTCTAAAATCATTGGACTTTATAGAATTTTAATTTCAAAATTCTAATTTCATAAAAATCTTAAATTAAGTAAAAAATAATAATAAATTTAATAATTCTGAAACATTAATACAACTCCCATCTTAGACAGATAATTAAGTTGTGCTGCTTAAAATTACATATATTTAGGTTTTGAACCTGAAGACAAAGAGAACAGAAGATTTATGCACAAAAATATTGTAGTATGCACACAGCACACAGCACACAGCAATTTCTCTTTTTTGATAATTATATTTTTTTATATTCATCAAGTATATCTAAAAAAAAAAAAAAATCTGTCAACTAATTCACACGTCTCTACATCCTACACATTATCAATATAGAAGAAAAATAATAATAAGAAAAAAAGAAAAAAAAAATCCATCAGTAATAAAAATAAATTTCCCACCAGGCTTCTCCTTGTTTTCTTATTTTATCAATTGAAAAATGTATCTTTGTTGCTCGCTCATCCTAATGCTCTTGCCACGGTAAAATGTGGGTTTGGTGGTAGGCAAACATGTGGAGAACCCTGTCCCTCAGGCCGGTGTCCATGACCTCACAAAACCGGGTTGACCAGTCTGGTGGTTCCACTGCTTGAGTCCCCAAACCCGGGGCTCGATCCTTAGACCCTACATTTTCCTCTTCTTGCCAATCAACCACATATGTAGCTACCCTCCTATAGAATTTCTCTTTGAACACTTGCCATACTTGATACTTATAGTGATTTATCACCAACACATTTGCATCCATATTTGCATACTCAAAACCAGCCCTTAAGTGAAAATGGTGCACCAAATTCACCAATGTTGAGTTCAATGCCTCAGGCCTCACTATACTCTTGTGCCTCTCGAACCCCCTCATCCGACACGTGTACCCGACCATCACACCATGTTCCGGGGGCCGTGTGAGGCCCGATGGGCCAAAGCTGTGGCACGAGGCCCGTAATTCGCCTACCTCGCTCGACTGATTCCTAAGAACATTGTGCAATGGCAATCCTGTAGGCAAATGTAGGAACTCATCTACATCAACAAATCCAACCCATTCACAACAGTCCCTAGCCCGTAGGGCACAGTGGGCAAACCCGGCTTCTTGGGTCTTGATCCAAGGCCACACATGCCGGGTAATATTGAAATTCGCATTGTCTAATGACTCTATCACATTATCAGGGTCGTCGTTGCTATTATTGTCGTAGATGAACCAACGTTGGACCCCGATCTGGGCATGGTACATGACCCATTCCCGCAAGAACCGTGCCTGATTGAGCACCATTGTGCATATGCACATTTCGTGTTGCTTCTGGGCTGATGGTTCGGCCTCCAAGAGACGCTCGGGCCGGGCTATTGAATGCAATATGCCTTTACCAATCACCCTGACAGAGACTTTGATGGAATTACTATTGACCTTTTGTGGGCCATTCAATATACTCAGAGGGGTTCTGCACCGTAGGATCTCTTGGGCGATCGATAAGACGTCCGATCGTAATAATAATCTGGGTCTCCTGAAATCCCAGCCGTACACGCACTCGTATTTTGACGGGTCGTAGACTCTTCCGGGCCGTAGATTGAGGCCTTTCGCGAAGACAATCGTGGTATTGTCGCGGTCAATCATAGCTTCATAAACCAACGAGTCCCAACGGTGTGTGGGACCTGCCAGTAGCAGACCGTTCGATTTCAAGGCAACGGAAGCAGTTAAGCCACGTGGCTGAAGCGGACACCGTACGATCTGGTGGTCGAGATACTCACCGTCGATAGACAGCGGTGAGAGCTTTAAACGAGGTTCAGACGAATTGGGTGGAGTGTAAACACAGTCGATGTCATCCTTGGAAATTAATGGAGTCGACGGAGGGTATTTCAGGAACAGCAGTGCCTGGTCCGGAAATAATACCGTTTCCCGAACCGAGATAGTAGTCGGAGTCTCCGGAGACTCGCCGGAGATGACATTCATCGCCGAAGTTTGCCATGACGAGACCAGTTTCGGACGAAACGATTCTGTTCGAATTTAAGAATATAATTAATTATTGAATGCAGTGGAAGAACGGAATTTCAATATGTCCTAGAATATAGGAATCAGATTATGCGTAATTTCAAAATTCGAAGAAGACCCAGAAAAAGAAACAATCTAAAAACCGAGAATAAAGGAACAATTTACAAGAAATTAAAAAAACGAAGCATGAAAAGTAGATTAAAGTGCAAAAAAATAAGGAAATTAAGAGGGAAAATTTCTATTTGAGTAGAAAATGAAAGGGGGTTTACGGTCATAGTTACCTCTGAAGACGAGACGTATAGTGGAGAAAGTGAAACCGTAGAAGAAGACTGCGAAGAGGATGACCCAGAAGATGTTGGCCCATGGTACAACCGTAGAACGTCTTCTACGATCTCTCATGGCGTTAGAGCCCACGATCCGATCGTAGTAACCACCCAGAAACGGTCTGGTTCTTGGCTTTCATGAGAGCTTCTCTTATACGTCTTCCGTACTGTAGACCTCTGTGGAAAAAAGTTTGGAGAGAGAAATAACTAAAGAAAGAAGAGTTAGAGAGAGAGTGACAGGGGCTGTTGATATCGTCTTTGATGGAGGATGGAGAGAGAGGGAGAGAAGAGACGGCTTCACATATCAGTTTTACACCGTTGGTGTCGTTTTCTATGCTGATCCCATTATCAACGAGTAATATTTACCATGCACCTTCGTCACATCGGATCATTTAACCACAAACCGTCAAGTTTTAGCAATGTTTTTTTTGTACTGAATCGACACGTATGGGTAAATGTGGGGACTAAAAGTCTAGAGGGTCCCACCTAACCTCATCCATGAATCATAAAATTGAGAAAAGATTTACGGAGTATTTCTATACAATTCTAAAATGTTTGGTAAGTTATGCGTTTAATCGCGAAGCTGAATGGTTAGAAGTTCAGTCTTAGTTTGCAATTACGTGGATTCATGAACGATGTGACGAGGCTATATTTGTTCAAAATAAATTTTATTTTTTATTTGTTTGAATGTAAAATATTTTTTAAAAAATGTTTTTTTTTTTTTTTTTTTTCGGATGACATTGTTTGATGAATTTAATTTAAATCTTAAATTAGATTTGTACCAAACATCAAAAACTAAAAAATAAAATTCTAAAAAAAAATATTTTACATTCCTAAATCACTATAAACAAACATGCTACTAAGTTGAATTGGATTCATCAATCCAACAAATGGTTAAAAAATAATAATCTCTCTAAATATGAAAATCTAGGGTGTGAATTGATGTAATTTATTTTGCTAACTGAATTGATTTTTTTTTTTTTTTTTAGAGATAATAATTTAATTACTATTAATCATGTCCTAGGCTCTTTATAAAACTACAATGACTGAATGGTTGAAGTGTTTATGTGGTGGCCTTGATGGCGGGTGTGTCATGGGTGGGTGGGAGGCACTAACAGATTGTCACACTGGCAAACTATGAGTGTACAATCGCATATCGTCTAGGTAAGAAAAATGTAACGTACTTATATATGGTGGTGTTATTTTTAATTGGTATAAAACCTTTTGAAGTAAAGTTCAAGAGTATAATCGTGCAGGCTTAGGCCGAGGACGTTGGGTCATAAAAGAGGGGTGATTGTGGCGACCTTGTGGACGGGTATATTGTGGTAAGTGCAAGACACTAACAGGCTACCACATTGACGAGCACAAATAAATTGCTTATAAATTGTGATGTTATCTTTAATTAGTACCAGACATTTTAAAATAAAATTCAAAAATACAATCGTGTGCGTTCAAATTCAAAATGAATAATATTACACGATGTGATAGGTTGAATCGTTATATTTTTATTAACAAATGAAGAACATTTAGTAGATTAAGCATTTTAGTACACAACCTCAATCCTTGAAAAAGTCTTCTCATGGGATGAATTGAGACACTTGAGCAATGATTGGGTTTCACACTAGGACCTACCATAAGAGAAATGAAAATTAAAAAAGTTATTTCCCTAAATAAAATATTCCACCCGTTCTAAAATTGGATAAATTTAAAAATCAATCTTAATAATACAACAAAAAATTTTCAAAGAGTCATTACCATAAAAAATTAAAATTTTCAAACACCTCACATTTTTTGAAATATCTAATAACATATTAAAAGTCTTTTAACCGATTAAAAATATTCGGTTAAATTTTTATTTTTTTTTGCCTATTCCTTGACTTTAAAATCATTTTTCAATAAATATTTTTTCAAATACATATCAAATTGTAAGTGCTTTTGATGATGCAACAACTGGACCTAATAAGAAAGCAAATGCATTATGTATCACAAATGAAGCCCTTATAAACATATTTATCTGCGATGTTATTATTTCATTTATGGTAACAAATGTGTTTACCTGCAATGATCCCATCAGCAGTAATGCAAATTAATTGAGTTAGATTGAAGTGGGGATGTTGAAAGATTCCAAACACCCAAACAAGCCTTTACTCATGTTTTTACCTTTTCTTTTTTGTTTTGTATCCTTAATCATTATGAAGAAGTTACATTTAATATTGTATTTATATAACAATACAACTTCCAATCGTCAAAGCTACACCAACTCGAAACCGACCTCAAGAATATATATATAACCTGTAATTCAGTGACAATGTTGTCTGAAATATTTTAATAAAAATATAATTAAATTATTATTAACAGTAGTTTCATTGTCAACATCATATCATTTTTTAATTAATATATTAATTTTATCAAAAAAAATCCGTTATATTCTAAGTGTCTATATACAGTGGTCTCTCTGTCTCTTTCTTCTAACAAACTATGGTCTCTCTAGCTATCTCTTTCTTCTTACAAACTATGTTCTTCCACTGCGCGCGCGCACACACACACATGTCAATTTGTGTGCGTGTATTCCTCTTATTTTAGCAATGAGATAACGACATGCTAAGAGTGTTTGGGTTGCACGTGAGAAATAAAATTAATTTCAAAGTTCAGTTTTTCAGACTTATTTTAAAAATTACAAAAATATTTTATTTATTTTCAAAATTGTACATAAAACTTTTAGTAAATTAAAAAAATCATTTGAACTAATAAAACTTATCAATTTATTTCAAAATTTGTGACGGACCCGTTAAATGAGTTGTGAAATGTTAAATTTGACATTATTGTTTAATATTAAATTAAAGTTATAATTATTATTTTAAAAATACAAAAATGCTCATTTATAATAATATTATTTAATGTTAGTTGGATTGTTATCTCACTAGAAACTGATGACCCATTTCTCGCCTCCAATATTATTTTTGTAATTTAAAATAATGATTATAGTTTTCAATTTAATTAATATTAAATAGGAAAGTCAAATTTGATATTTCACAACCTATTTAATGGGTTGGACTGGTTGGTCACAGATTTGAGAAAAACTTGATAAGTTTTGTTAGGTCATTGTTTATATATATATATATATATATTATTTAAATTCTACTGAAATTTGATGCACGATTTTGATATTAGAAGGGGTTTTATGATTTTAACCCTTATTTATATTATTATAATCATATTATTTATTGTGTTTAAATTTAGTTTATTTGTATCATTATCAATTTTATGTTTTGAAATTGATTATATAATAGAAAATGCAATTCATCCATTCGTTATTGGGAAAAAATATATATATGTTCGTATTGTTGTATTATTAATTTTGTTATTAAAGTATTGTATTTTTTGTTAGTGTTATATTTTGAGTTCATATTGTCAGTTTTATATTTTTGAACATGTCATCTTATAAAATGAGAGATTTTGTAGGTAATACATTGTATATGAACATAATCTATAAAAAAAATTCCTACAAATACAGAAAAAATAAAAAATAAAAATAAAAATAAAAATTTTGAATTTTAAATTGACTATTGGTTAGTTTTACATTGGTGCCGATGGTGATTTTTTATGGGTAGTTGAGGAGGCCCCGGACGACATGGGCCGGATCCGACTCGCAAACACTACATTCAGTTCGTACAGCTGGGTCGGCCCATATAAAGACACTGCCATATGGGCCGAACGCGAGTAAGCCCATCAAAGGTGACCAGGACTTATGGAGGGATAGGCCCAGATCCAGCAATCAGTAAATATCTTGTAAATATCTTGTAAATATCTATAAATAGGATAAGGAATGGAAAGGAAGGGGATCTTTTTGGGTTGAGGTGTAAGAATTCTAGAGAGAGAAAGAGGGGAACGAATTTCTTGCATCTTCAATTGGCGCCGTCTGTGGGAAACGCATGGAAGTTTGGTTGATCAATGAGGAATATCGAGAGGATTCAAACCAATTCGGTTGATCGAGACTCGGTCTTTGGGATTTGGATCCAGATCTGAGCGATTGTGACCTACTCTGGAGGAATTACAATTCTTGAAGCTTTGGCAGAAGTGGCTTCAGATCTACGCAACAACGAGTTGTTCGATTGCGGCAGGATCTGACGGATTTAGAGTTCAGACAATTTAGATCTCGTAAACAGTGAGCATAATTCGGAGAATTAGAAGCCAGATCTAAAAATTCCTACTCACGAAGCTCGGATCTATTCGCGAACTTGAGATTAATGCCTTTACTCCGTTCGGGAATAATGATAGGTGAAAGCTCCAATCCGATGGAGGCTGTCCAGCAAACAAAGCTTGAGGAGTTGATGAACTTGATTGAAGCTCTCAAAAAAGAGAATGCAGAATTGAAAGCTGGAATGCAACATCGGCAAGTACCTGCGGTTTCGCATCCACTTCCGGTCGGAGAAGGAGGTGTTCAATCTAATATCGCGCGTCAAGGCGAACAGGATGAGAACAATCAGTCAGCTCACCACCGCGATGAAAGGATGATGGACAATTTGCCGCCCGAGTTGAAGATCACGAAGGATCGACTCACGTTGATCCGCATCGGGAAAGGTTCGACCGAGAGGAAGTGATGGAGGTTGATCGCCGTCGCGTAGCGTCGCCTTGGCAAAGAGAGTTCATAGAGGAACGATCGTTCGATCCGTCTTACCGGCCCTCCATGGTTACTATTACTCATCACGGTTTGGAGGGCAGAACCGTGACTCACAGAGCGACCGCTGGACTCCAGAGAGAGAATGAAGCCCTCCGATCCACAGCTCGAACGGTGGATTCACCATTCACCGACGAGATCTTGAATGCCCCGCATCCAAGGAAGTTTGCTATGCCAGTCTTTATTCTGTTCGACGGAACGACCGATCCAATCGATCATGTGTATCATATCCAGTTGAAAATGGCCCTGAATACGGAAAACGACTCTTTAATGTGCAAATGTTTCCCTACAAGCCTAGCCGGACCGGCACTCAGCTGGTTCAAAAACTTGCCTAGGAGCTCCATTGGTAGTTTCAGAAACCTGTGCGATCGGTTCATAAGCCAGTACTATGGGAACAAGCGCCCGCCGAAGGACATCTCGAGCCTATTCACGATGAGGCAACACAAGGATGAACGTCTCCAGGCTTTTCTTACCAGGTTTAATCTCACTAAGAGTATGGTGATCGAATGCCACCCTTCTACAGCAGTTCAAGCCTTCAAGTTAGCCATGACACGCGGAACTCCGTTTCACACCAGTCTGGTAGTGAACACGCCGACTACTATGGATGAACTCAATGAAAGAGCCGATGGCTTTGTG